TGCCATAGCAACTTCTGGCTATAGTTAGAACCCTGCTCAGGGTCAGAGTTCCCACGTCTGTAAGGCAGAGCAGGCAACAGCTTAGAGAGAACTGATGACTTCAGGGCAAATCTTCTGGGACTTATGTATGTTCCAAGATGACCCACCCAACATACAGCAGAGACTGAATGTGGAAACACCCTAGATCCTGCCCCGATCCCCTATGCCACACATCTTTAATTTCTCATCACTGTCCTAGGTAGAAACAAAGATTTTTCCTTTAAAAATATTCCAAGCCTTGAGCCAGAAGTTCCTCTGGAGACAGCAGGCCTGATTTTCCTGACACACAAGACCCCTGCTCACCAATGTGTAGTCCAAGTAGATATTCAACTGGTAGCAAATGCTCTCTGTGGGGGCACCCACATAACAGTCAGACTGGGCCTCTGTTTCAGAAAAATTCCTCACCCTTTGGGAGAGGCCTCAGCCTCAGCCAGTTCTTGTGCTCCCCTCCACAACCCACATCTCCTTGCTGAGATTTTGTTTTGAGTCAGGATGTTCTGCGGTGCATTGTACAGCAGCCGGTCGCTGAGCACACAGTGCTGAGAAGAGCCGCCCCCACAACCATTGCTTTCACAGTATTTGCCTTGCCAATTATTAGTACAATGGGCCAATTCCTATCCTGTGTTGCTCTTGGGGAAAATATGCAGGCTAGGGAACTGGCCTAGATTGGAAATGGAACAGCAGAAGCTGCCAATTAACATGAGTTCCTTTTTTATATCCCCTAAAGGAGTTAGTCTCTAGGGACAATTTATGAAAGATATGATCCCAAGCCCTCTAGGAACTCCTTAGATGCCTTGAATCTCTTTGGATGGGGACAAGTGTCAAAGGTTGCTTGGTCCAACTTTAAGAATTCCTTACATGACTTCTTCAGCTTTTTCCTAAACACGCTCAAGTTTAAGGAACCTATTATTACCTATGGCAGTACAACTCTCCTTTGGACAACTCTATTTATTTCAAAGTTCTTACTTTAATTGAGCCAAATTCACATCCCCATGGCTTTCCCACTTTGGTCTCTGCTAATGAGTTAGCCTAGTCAACCATTCAACTTCCACTCCCAGAAAATCATCAGCTGCTTGGGGGAACCAGTTCTCAGGTCAAAAATAAAAGTTTTGAAAAAGCACAACAGAAAGGCTAATGGGTGGACTTTTCTGTGTGGTCCCTGAAAACCAAAGTCAGGTTATAGATTCAGGATTTAGAAGATTTGCTGGCAGCCCCTGAAAGTCCAGTTGTAAGCATATCACAAATTATAAGCATATCAGAAGAGCAGAGCTGCGTCCTTCACTTTGTAAGAGTTTGTGCTTTCACCAAGAAGATAAGAAGCATTTGGAGAGACTGGTCAAGATTTAGCAGGCCTTGCTGATGGGCAGCACTAGGCTCAGTGGGAGGACTGGTCTGATGGCCAGAGGCCTTGGCTTCTCCCCAGAACTTTTCTACGTATGCCATAAAGAAAGCTGCAAGTCTCTCTGCCATAGACCTGGCTCAAACCTCCTCACAAGCCAGCCCCACATTCTTGGAAGGAATGTTGGCTCAGAAACGTAGAGGCAATCTGGGATAGTCCCCCAGTACGTGGGAAGAGCAAGGAGAAATATGGGGGGGGGGGTGGATCTCTCTTCCACATGAGTGAGGCAGCAGATGAAAACAACAGGTTAAGGAGAACGGATGAAGAGACCTCGTCTCCACAGCAACAAGCCCAGCAATCCTGAAAGATAGGATTTTTATTTTTCTGTTCACCTGTCACTCTTCTCAGCACTGTCACTCTCTTTCCCTGCTCCTGGCAGGAGATGAGTTGTGACTTTTTCATTCCTACCAACCAGCTGCCTGGCTTTGGGGCCGTGCAGCTGCTATGAAATGGAAAGAGAATGAGGTCCCCAGAGAGGTGCTCAGAAGCCTCAAACTCCACCTCTCCCTTTCCCCTGAGAAGCATGGGCATAGCTATTTGTCCACAAGTCCACTAGGAAGCCCCCTCTTGAAGACATTGTGGACCAGAGGAGGAATCAGAGCTCTGGCCCTCACATCAAAGGGACTTTTGTTCCTATCTAAGTCTGCTCCATTATATTTCAACAGAGCAACTCAAAGGGAATCAATAAAAGCAACTGAATAGAAGACTATGGTCTTGGACCACCTCAGAAAGATCTAAATTTTGTGCTATCAAAAAAGTTAATGGAACACAACAGGAGAATCACAGAACCTTATCTAGATGGGAACTCCTCAAATATCTGGACTCAGACCACACCGACACCAGCCCTTCATCCCATTCCCTGTTAAATGATGCCAAACTAGAGAGTTATGTTGCACCTGATATTGGCAGTGAGAGGGTGTGGGTTCCTCCTTGATTCCAGGGGTCTTCTTTGATTCCTGCTACTATAGAATTCTGTCAGTATAAATAAGGATCAATGACATTGTGGGTCCCGCAAGAGGCAGCAGTTCCTATACATCTAGCAGCTCTCTTTGTGTAGAATGTCTCCATACCCACTGCCATCTTGCTGTGCAAGACACCTCCTTCGGAAGTGAGGGATGCTATCTACCTCTGGACAAAATCAGTCTCTGGGCCCTCTTTCTGTAGTTGCATATAATAGAACATGCTCCTCCCCCTCACTTCCATTTGAGGATCTGATTCTAATCCCTTCCCAAAGAGACCAGAAGTGGAAACTTTACCTTCTACAGCTAGGGAGGCAGATACCCTCTCAGAATCTTTTGAAGATAATAAAAGAAAAAAGTACACACCACTCCCTTATCCTTGAAGGCCATCCATGACCAAGAGGAACTTAGAAAAGACCATGAAGAAGAAAACAGCTTTGGTGACCAAGGGGACCTGGTATGCCTCAGCTATTGAAAGTCTACTCAGCTTGTGAAGCCAGCAGCCTCCAGTCTTCGAGTGTACCACCTTCCCACAGGGTGAACCCCATCTGCTCCCTCTGAACCTCACTGTCAACCACTCTTTGCCAAGATGTGAGCTGATAATATGTTAAGACAACTTCCCACCCCACTCCTACTGCTGTCTAAACAGAAGAGAGTTGTAGGAGCTTCTCTTAGTGGCATGACCTCCAAGGATTCTAAAGAATTACTCTTCAGAGGAACAATTACTTGCCTCATGACATGCGATTCAAAATGTTCTAAAAATCGTGTGAAGTAGGAATTTACTTGTTCAGCCAACTCTTTAACCAAGCACCAGATTCATTTTTGCATATTTCCTTCATCAGGCCATTATGAAAGAGCAGGAGAAATTTTGCCCCTTTGAATCCTTTGAATAATCACTTCCACTGATTCTAAAACCAGCCATGCCAAGTATAACCTATATTCAAGATACATCTGCCTTAACAGACAGGAAGCCACCAAGGGGGCAAATCTGAGATACTCCTACAGCTCTGCTGGCCATGGCTGCTTCTGAGGATGAAAATCATGCTGCTATTTGCCAGCTTCAGTCCTCAAGCTCAGCCCTGCTGAATCCTGTACAATGCACCAAGTAGAACTGGTTACAGAGGCCACTGACTTGGTCTAGAAGAGATTCCTATCTACATGCCCAGATTCTAATAGGCAGATGTCAGAGGAGTCCCAAGGGCAATACAGTCCACCCCTTGGCTCACCTACAGCCCCACCTGAAAAGGAACACATGGAGAGGTGTGACAGCCTTACCCTATCCAGTGCCACCAACCAGCCAGCGATGACATGTGCCTATGACTGATGAGGCAGGCGTTTTATTTTAATTCAATGAGACACTTGTGGTATCTGGAAAAATAATATAAAGAAAGGTGTTAGAACTACCACTCATGAATATTCTTCTGAGATTTAAAGATATTCTTTTGCCCCTCAATCTCCCACTGTTGAATCCCATTGGAGGTGACAGAACTCAGGGATGGTCTCACCAGAAACAATGCCTTCCTTGGGCTCCACAGGGCAAGCTCTGTCCACCTCCTAGTGGACATGAGTACCTGTCCCCAGGTTCCTAGGAATTAAGCACCCTTCTTGGTGACCCTGCTTATCCAAAACCAATGCAGGATCTTTTACCATAGGCAGCAAAGATTTCTAAATTCAGCCACCTGGGTCTGCCTACAGTGTTTTTAGCAGGCACTGCCAACAGAAAAATGACACCAATTAAGATAATTATTGGAATTTAATAGAGTCATTTTTCTAACTCAGTACCTTTTTACTATTCCAAGCCCCCCATCTTTTCCCCTAAATTGGGGCTCAGAGCAGTAAGTTAATGTATGTATCAGTTAGTCTTTATTATACGTACAATAACTGTCTTATTAAATTGAAATCGAATGCACATCTAGGGGAAAGTTCATTTTAAGTACCAAGTCTCAGAAAAACACTTGGAGATATAAACAATGAGTGAGACCAATGCGTTGCTTGGCAACAGAGTGAAGGGGGGTAGCAACAGAGCCGAAAGGAAGGGATGTGGTTTTTTGAAAAAGAATAGGATAAGCTCAAGAGTGCAGATCCTGGTACAAGCTGCCCTGAATTCCTTGTGGTATCTCCCACCCTAGAAAAGGCATTGAGGAGGGTGAAATATAGTTATAAATTCAACAAAACCAAGGATGCTTGGAAATTTTACATATAGTTTTCCTGGGGAGTGTTTAATACTGGATCAATGAATAAAAAGCCTTTCTAACTACGATGAATGTTAAAGAGGGTGTGGGGTTGAGTGGATGTGTGTAAATATGCTGTTGCTTTGATGGTCTTCAGCCACCTGCCTCACTTTATTCTTCCCCCCTCCCCTTCCTTCCTTCCCTTCCTAGGACAAGACAAGCGCTCTGAGCCTCAGCAATGTGGCGGGCGTGTTCTACATCCTGATCGGAGGACTCGGACTAGCCATGCTGGTTGCCTTAATCGAGTTCTGCTACAAATCTCGTAGTGAATCCAAGCGGATGAAGGTGGCATCGTCTTCCCAGGCCTTTTTCCTAAACTGTTCTCTGATACAGCTGGGTGTCCTGGGGTCTATAGAAAGAGTGGGGAGTGACAAGTGATTGTAGTCAGCCCAAGATGGGAAGCAGGGACAGGGACAGAGGCAGCCATGAGAAAGGAAGGAAGATGGGGTGTGTCTAGGCAAAGACGAGAACAACTACACCTGCCGGAGAGGGGTCAGTGAGATCAAAGGTGAGGGGTTTAAGTGGACAGTCAGCACAGCGGGAGGCATGACTGATCACTACAAAGGCTGACTACCTCTGAAGTTGCGCTGATAGAAGTGGAGCTCCCCAGCAAGGGGAAGGGATGCCTGCCTTGCTCTGTGCTGATCCTGTGCTTGGTGAACTGGGTCTTTTCTCAGCTTCCATGCTGCGAGATAGACATTAGCAAAGAGGATCACGCTCAGAGAAAGGTAAGAAGATTAGTTAGATGACCCCAAACCACATGAAATGCTGCTGAAGGGACCTGGAGAAGAGAAGAACTGTGTAGGATTTAAGAGCCGTCTGTGAAAATATGAGTACTTTTCCAGATAGGAAAGAAAACAGACCTGTTTTGTGGGGTCTCAAAGTACATATACAGCAATAAAAAGTGACTTAAAGTTACAGAAAATAGATGTTGGCACAATATGCAAAGTCTATTTTTCTAACAGAGATACTCAAAGATGAATTGAGTATCTTTGATGAATTGAGTACTTTCTTACCCCAGAAAGTAGTGAGGTGTCCATCACTGAGGGTATACAAGTAGAGGATGACTAATTCTTGACAAGGATATGAATTCAGGCACCTAAAGGGAGTTTGGATTAAATGCCTTTTAAGCCTTCTCATATTTCATCATTTATCTTTAGTAAGAAAATATTTATGGAAGTTAATCATGTGAGCAATACCATGAGCAAGATATTATAAGGAAGGAGAGTGGGCTGAGGTACATTGTGTAACCTTCAGCAATTTTGAATCTTAACCAAAAAATGGGCACAGATGAACCCAGGTACAGTGGGTAGTCCCAGCTGCTTGGGAAGCTGAGGCAGGAGAATCATTAGTGCCCAGGAGTTTGAATCCAGCCTGAGCAACATAGCTCTGTATTTAACAACAAAAAAAAATAGAAAAGGAAAAGAAAAGATAGGGATAGGAAGGGAGGAAAGGAAGAGATTATAAGGGAAGGGAAGAGAAAAGAATAGACACAGAAAAATTACTCAACAAGATATCCTATGGTATAGATAGGAAGAACTATAGGAATTTAAAGGAGGAAGTAATTTGGAGAAGGCTTCTAGGAAGAGGCTGTAACTCAGAAGGACAAATAGGGTTGAGACTGAGAAGGAAAAAGAAGTGCAGTCATTCTGGGCAATGCACCAGTGCTGGTATGTTGGACTAGCCTAGCCCTACAAGGGGTGTCCAACCTTTTTTTTCCTCTGTGGTACATTGGAAGAGTAGGAATTATCTCAGGCCACACACTAAATACACAAACACTAACAAAATCTGATGAGCAAAAGGAAAAGGTCCATACAGACTTTTCATGATACACAATACCACAGATAAGGAAATACAGTCCTCGTAAAATCAGCATGTGGCCCATGGCCACAGGACATCCCTGCCTAGACTATTACCTTAGCTTATCTAAACTGACTAGAGCCATTGGTAAAATTTGCTCTCCTAGAATGTTCTCTAAGAAGTTCACTTTTCAAGACACAAGTGCTCCCAATCTCAGCACACCCACTCTTGGATCACAAACAGAGCCTCCTGCCCAGCCCCTCCCTGCCTTATGCCTCATGTCCTACTCATGCCTCCACAGTCACCCCTGGAAGACATCTCTGTACATTTGCCCTTCTGTTTCAAAACTCTACTCAGTTCTGTGCATGGGGAGGTGGGGGTAGGGTAGGAGGGCCTTTTGTCCTGGCATTCAGCATTTCTACATCATAGCTCCAGCCTACCACCTCCCCGCCCCAAGCCCCAGCAATCTGCTCTCCTCACAGACTCCAAACTCCAGCCACCCACCTCATGCTTCCAACTGTGTGCCTTTGTGCAGGCTGATTCCTCACCTGGTCCTCTGTTAAGATAGGGCCCACTGAAAAGACAGCTTCCCTGAGATATGATAATGAGGAACAATCAAGGGAGGGAAGCACAACGGCATTTGGCCAGGGAACCAAGGAACACTTGTCCTAACCTTGACCTCCTTGCCCATTGATTGCTAGGTCCTCTCAGAAAAGGCAAAGACAGCAAAGTGTGAGCTTCAGGCCCTAAATCAAGCGTAGACCTCCAAGGACTCCTCCAAGAACATACACAAAGTTTTCTCTGCCCATTCTATCCAAAGCATAAGCCTAAAGACTCTCCTATCTTACACCCCAAAGTGCTACCCCAGTGACAAAGAGAGGGGCAGGGCAAGAGCTAGGTAAGCTATGATCCATACACTCCCCTAAACTCTTCCTGCATACTATGACTCAAAACAGAGCCCCAGAGTTGGCCATTAGAGATCACAGGAGTGTCCTCACCTAGGACACAGGACAGGTCACAGGTGTGTCCTCCTCCCTTCAGACATAGGACAGGTCACAGGCATGTCCTCCTC